TTAATCTTTCGTTTGGTTTTCACTCCGGCGAAAAAGTATGCCGTTGACTCCTGACACTCTGGTTGCGTTTAGACTCTTAGAGTCTTTTACCGTGTGTTTCTTATTGGCAACGGGGAATCCCGACGGCTGACGTTCGCGTCAAGCGGCTAGAATAGATTTTATTCAATTTTGCTCAGCGGCAACCTCAAATTTTCTCTCTTGCTCTCAATTGAGTTGCCATATTTTAGATAAAAATCAGGTACCAACATTTCAATGGAAATTTATATCAAAACATATGGCAGTGCTGTTAAAAAACAAATATTTTCAAAGATTTTAATTAAATTCCCTGTGCTACAAAACAACAACAAAAATTATACAGGTGTTCTAATGTACCAATTCTGTTTATTTGGAGTCCCTGGAACACGAAAATACCTTTGGATTTTCTGTGTAACTTCGAAAATGAATTTTATAGCGGTAAATGTAGAGAAAAACGTGGTAGATTTTTAATTTGAAACGCGAATAACTTCGTTACTTTCTAACGGATTTGTATTATTCTTTTTTCTTTTGAACAAGATATAAAAGACAAATTTTTATAAAAAGACAAAATTTGTTTTTCTTCGAACTGTACGATGAAATTATGATATCAAGCCGTATAAGTTTCATTACATTACGGAAAAAGAAAATTAAATAAGCTTTCAAAAATGAGAAAAATCAAAAAAATCGGTTGAAATCACATTAGATATAAGATGGAGCTTTGAAATGTTGAATTCCTCATAGTTTTAACTTGTTTTCTTTATCATTACCAAGTCTAAAAATATATTTCTATAACCAAACAAAAAATATTCACATATGAAATTGCATTATTTTGATATTATTTAATATTCAAAATACATAGAAAGAAAAGGAATACTTTCATACTAAAAATTTTCATGTTTAGTTAAAAAATTGTTAAAATTGTTAAAAAATTGTGATTATTATTATTGTTGATTATCTGACCAATAGTCTCACGAAACTCAAAATTTAAATGTTTTCATTTATCAACCACGTCGTCATTAAGTTGACTATAAGAAAATATGTAAACATTTTTGGAGTTCAGTAAAATTTTGAATAGTACAAGCAATGCAAGACCTGTTGTATAAGACTTCATTAAAATAAGTATTGAATAATTTTTTAAAAATATAGATGACTAAAGATAACAGTTTATAAAAATATATGACAGATAGGGGACATACATTATATAGATGGCAGCGAGTTAAAATATATGATTATTCTCTTAAAAAGAAGATAAATACACAGAAAAGGCAATGAGTATTTTTACTGCAAACCGCGCCTAGAAATTAGAGGGTATGACAAGCAGTTGTGAGAGAGAAAACAAGACAAGGGATATCAATAAAACAGATACGACAATAACAAACAATGGAAAAGTAACAAGGTGCGACTTTTAATAAAGGAGTTTCAAAAAATCGATTCCAAATTTTGGGACGTTTCCGCAATCAAAAATAAGGACTTTTCTTTAATCCCTTAAAACAAAAACAATAACAAAAAAATTTTGTAAATTAATTTTCTTTTCCTTTAAATCTTCAAATATATATGTGCCAAGTTACAAACCTTAACAAGCTTTGGTATTGATTTACCGGCCCATTGAAAATTTAAAATCGAGAATGGGGAGATTCCCGTAAAAGAGATTCAACATAAGCAGTTGCAAGCTAGCCGCTGTTCAACAATAGCTTTTTTTATCGCTGGATATTGCCACCACTGAATGGCAATCGCTCGTATGAGTTGTGTCTGTTTACTCGATATTTTGTTACCAAATGTTACTGGATATTGACTATTTACTCCAAAGTCCAGTAAAGAGAAACCAGTTCTACTCTGAAAACTTACTGAATGTTACTGGGTAAAATTCTTCTAGTAAGATTTATCCCGCACAGTTCGACGGTCAATATTTTTTTTATTTTCTGAATTTTATTCTTTAATAATTAAAAAAAAATAAATTTCAAGCATTTTAAGTGAAATTGAGTGATATTTTGCAAAATCTTACTGGATGTTGTATGTTTACTTTTCTCAATATTGTTGCAAAAGAAATATAACTCACAAAGTAAATGTTACTGGAAAGTAAACAGACACAACTATTGTCAAATTCAGAGCTTGTTTTAGGCGTTTGGTTGCCACCTTGTAGGAGGCAGACTCCTCTGCTTTGGCTTGGATATCGTTATCCGATTCGCCAACCATCATCATATTGTTGACAACTATGTTGCCAACTACAACCTTTGACATGGCATGAGTAAAGTACTAGAGTAAACGTAGAAAGGGCTTGTTCGAGGCGTTTGGTTGCCACCTTATAGGAGACAAACACCTCTTCATTGGCTTGGCTATTATTATCCAATTCGCCAACCATCATCATATTGGTTGGCAATTATGTTACCAACTAGAACCTATAACATGCCGTGGGTAAGGTACTAGAATAAACGTACAAACGGCTTCAACCAGCATCTATGGAATAATCAAAACCATGATGAAATAACAAAAACCCCTGTTTTTGTCTCAACCATGATGCAATAATAAGGTGATGTATCAAAACAAGAACCGTTGTTTTTGTCTCAATCTTCTGTCCAATCTTTCCTTATAATATTTCACATGGTTTGCAACATTGCACATCGAATTCAAGTAGAAATTACCAACTTTGACAGTTAATCGAGACATCAGCTGCGCTAAATGGACTACCCATGGCACAATGGATAGGTAGAACACCGATTCCGATGTTCCAGTCTCGTGCCCAAGCTGATTAATTTCAGTCGTTGTTGCCGACAGATATTTACCCTCAGCCTATGGCTTGTTGAGGTCTACGGAATTACCTCGATTTATAAAGGTATCAAATAGTTGACCATCTGTAGAGAGACACCAGAAAAGGTTGTCATAAAGACCCCATCACCATCAATTTTTAAAATTGTACACTTTGTGGAGAGGTACTACAAAGAGTTGACAGACGGTTTCCATCTTCGTACTTGATCTAAGTAAAATTAGGATTTTACGGTGGTCAAAGTTTTGATTATACAGTATTTTTCGGTTAATTGCACATCAAAATTTGCACAAATTTTTGTTCAATTAACCGAGGAACCAATTATCCGAACCCGCTTACTATGAAATGAAATATTTTTGACCCATCATGTGGTTCAATTAAGCGTGGAAACCAATTAACCGTAGGGTCAATTAACCGAAAAATACTGTATTTGTATATTCCGTTCAGATCATATATGATTTACAAATTTTTAAATTTTGACCCTTTGTAGGAGAGTTACTAAAGGAGTGGGCTGATAAGCCCCATCATTAAACAGTATATATGTTTTTGTTAATGTATTAGATAGTGCAAAGTTTGGTTTAAATTGTATGCTCTGTTCGCATGACATAAAAGAAATTCATTACAAGACTGAGTGTTAATTCGCCTAATATTAGATCTATAAATATTGAAAATGTTTGTGGATAGTGATCCAATGGGCCCCATCTTCGCACTAGATCTAGGGCAATTAACACTAGATTGTCGAAGACGGTCATTTTGACCGTTTTTCCATTTTAAGCACAAAAGCAATTGTGTATATTATGACACAGCTTTTTAAAATTTGGTGACTTTTTGGACCACATAGAACTACGTTTATTAATCATAGTAACTGCGTAAATAATGTAAAAATATTACAAAGTAAGAATGAGGTAATTTTGACCGATTTTAGGCAATATATGTACAGTATTTTTCGGTTAATTGCACATAAAAATTTGCACAAATTTTAGTTCAATTAACCGAGAAACCAATTATCCGAACCCGCTTAATTGAATAGTTTGTTCAATTACAGTAGTCACGTATAATTTGAACTTCAATGTCAAATACAAATTACGCTTTCTCGCAGTTTTTCCTTAGCAATAAACATATGTTTTGAATTAATAGAGGTCTCACCTAGTCTTTTTCACAAATTATGTCAAATATGTATGCAAAAAAATGGCAGATTATTTGTCAATTATTATTAAGCAATTAACCGGTGAAAAGTAAAAGGAAATTTATTTTTGATGACATGAATTTTGAACCAATTAAGCAGGAAAATCAATTAACAGGGTTTAATTATCCGAGAAAATTTACATGTATTTTCCTATGAAATATTTTTTGCCCCATCATGTGTAGTTTTTTCTTCACAGTAGAGATCAGAATATAGTGTATGGCCATATAATACCCTTCCAGTCCCACTAAATGCATACCAGAACCTTCCTGGCCGTTTGTCCTGCCTTGGTCATCGTTCGAGGTGCTTCACCGCTCTTTGACCACGATCAATTTCGCACAGGGTTTCGTATGCGATCCATTCCTCATCTCCAGTCGATCTCATTCCCTTTGGCTAAGGCTTCGCTGATGGAAATTCGATCCATTCTAAGATCCATCCACCCAAACATCAAGCTTTTGTTTGAATCCAGCTTTGTGTAAATGGCTTAAAACAGTTTTATGGTCGATTTTTAGCTTCAATGCGATGTTACGATTGCTAACATGCCGGTCAACTTCGATCATATCTCCGATTTCATCGTAATGTATTTCTTTTTCCTAAACCTAATACATATAAACAATTTGGAACTTTATGCACAACCTTTGTGAAATGAAGTGAAATATATGATCGAAAGGGTAAAATTTACACCCACCTTCAAATTTAAAGGTTAAATCATGGTCAATATGCAATAAATAACACAAAGTACATATAAAAATTTTACAATTTGCGGCGTTATTATTCAGTATTATATGAAATTTGAGCGTATTTACAGATGATTTCGTCCACATAGCCCAGTTTTGTACGGCAATTACATTGATGCAGTAGAAAGTGAGAAGAGGAAAAACATCGCTCTCTTGATGACGATCAAAAGAAATGATGTGCAAGTAGTAAAATCAGTGTATACATATGTTTTATTAATCATTTGTTAATACTTACATTTTATTTAAATTACAATTTACAAAGTTAATACGTCATGATATTAATAATGAGAAAAAATTAAAACTAATTTAAGGCTTTCCCAATGGAATAATAAAACTCATGTAATCTGCCGTAGCACCCCATTGTGCTCTCTGTGTTTGAAATATTATGATCCATACTGTTAATGCCACCGTCCAAACGAATGTTCCAATTCCTGAATATATGACGTACTGTTTGATTTGCTTTTGTTCCGGATATGAGTTTCTACCGAATGCCTCCTTGAAGAACCAAAAGAAATTTACTGCCCACAAGAATGGCAGTAATGCAAATCCAGCACGAAAGTATGTGCGGCACAATTGCAATTTTTGTTCACCCGTAGCTTTGGATATATTCATATTGTTTTTCTCAAGTAATTGTTTGTTTTCTTTTGTGTTTAGTTGAATCAGTGATGAGGTGCGTTGTGTTGGCCAAATCTAATGAACCAATCTAATTTAAAAACGTTCCGAACGCTGCGAATAGTTAGAGACAGCAGAGAATAGCTGATAAAAATCAAATCGAAACAAAATGGCACTTATCATGTTTACGAATTAAGGGCGAAGCAGAATGCTCGCCATCCGTCGCGTTATTTGTTATCGAAAATACAACAACCACAAGGAAAAGTTGTGTTTATGTTATCGTTTCCTTGAGGTTGTTGTATTTTCGATAACATATAACGCGACGGATGGTTCAACGCGAGCATTCTGCTTAGCCCTTTAGTGTGACAAAAAGGAAAAGTAAACTAGCTAATATATTTCGATTAATCGACTTATTTATATTTGGGACTTTTTAGGACTCAAGGGCTAAGCAGAATGCTCGCGTTGAGTCATACGACGCGTTATGTGTTATCGAAAATAAAAAAACCACAAGGAAACGATAACACAAACGCATATCGTTTCCTTGTGGTTGTTGTATTTTCGTCGTGTACACTACAATACAAATACCACAACCACAAGGAAACGATAACACAAACGCTCGAAGTTGATGTGCGCTGCGTTTCGGAGTTAAATATATTTTAACTTTTTGCGTGCGTTAACGCGATAACAAAAAACACCCAACGCGAAAATTCTGTTTAGCCCTTTAATGAGAATCAACGCGTTACGCGTTTTTTATGCAAAAATTTAATATATATATATATATATATATTTAATTCCAAAGTGCAACATCAGGCGTTGGTGTTATAGTTCCCTTGTGATTGTTGTATTATTGCCAAAAGATCACATGTTCGAAAGCAAGTAAAAAGGTCCTTAATTTCGTTCCTCCATTATGAGGTGCAGGTTACGCCATTAGGATTTTTGGTAGGATTTAAAACGAAATAAGAAAGAACCCATTCGGTTAAAAAATCCACACATAATCCCCAAAATCCTGTATAATACCAATGTTTCTATGAAAAGAAGATTTGCTAACCAATGAGAATTCAAAATAATAAATTATAGCCAATTTGGTTGAAAAAAACTTACGTTTGAACAACTATTGGCTTTCGTAAAAAATTGTCAATATTGTACATTTTTAGTAAGACGTGATATGTTCCCTTACTGCAAGAATCTACTAGATCTTACTATTTTCTTCAATATCATAAAGGAAAATTCGTTATCGTAGCAAAAAGTTGTAGATTCTTGCAACGGGAACAGACCAGATGTGTTACGCAATAAGAACCCAAAATACCAAATTACAGCCAATTCGTTTGAAAAACGTGTCCATACTCCCCAAAATACTGAAAATTAGGAGGTATTGTTATATATGGGGACTACCGTAAAAAATGTAGACCAATATTAATAATTTTTGGTGGGAAGATATTATATCGGTCTCTGGTGAATATTTCGAGGTTTTGCAAACACGATGGCAAATGTAATATACACTCCACCATATGATGGAGGGTATAATAAGACTGGGAAAATTGTGCTAAAACATTCAAAATACTAGAGTATCTTGAATTTCGTAAATGTTTTCGATCTGTCTCAATTTGTTTAGATGGTGGCGTGATTAAAACATACGGACATGTCTATAGCGTCATAAAATGTTACGCATTAAAGGGTCATAAGTGAATATTTCGATGAGTTACTATACTTTGTTGAAAAGCAATGGAGCGTAAAAAGTGAACAGAATTGGTCTGTTTCAGAATTTTTCTAATATTAAAACTAGTTAAAGGGGAAACATTTCAAAATCGCACTCAGAGTACAAAACAATTTGAAAAGTTTGAGAACGCAAATCTAGTAAATATGTCAAAATAAGATGGCAATACTTCAAAATCAATATAACAGCCAATCAGAAGTTGGCATTCCTGTTAACAATTTTTACTCGGACAAATTTTTCGAGTAAAACGTTTACAAAGAGAACGCCATTTTGTTTTGTGCTCTCTTAAATTTGGTTCAATGTTTTACCAGTTTTGTGGATTCAGGAACGGTTTTCGAGTAAAACGTTGCAAAACTTGTAAAATTAGTAGATTATTTTAGGTTCTGGAACGAAACTAATATTAAAATCTTAATATTTCTCCATATCATAACAACCGATGAAGAGACATCTATTGAAATTGTTCGAGTTTACAATATTTTTATGTCTTTGATAAATTTTTCTTTTAAAAAACTCCCTGTGTATCGTGGACACAAACCATGTTTGATGCATATCTCTAACTCATAACAGATGTCGCCTTTTTTGAAGCTTGCGTTGGAATTTTAAGATTCGGATGTTCCAGTAAACGGCAATCAATTCCTTCTTTTCGACAGTGATAAATAAAATGCCAATATAAAGAAAAGCAAATGGAATATCGGCGAAAACCCCACTGAAATTGCTATTTAGGGTAATTTTTACAAGAATGAACCAGTATGGAAAGTAGTAAAGTCGGACTGGGTCGACCATATGATACCCTTCACCACTTTGGGTATATTGTACATACATATCCTAACAGACGTCGCCTTTTCGAAGGAACATTGACATGAAATTGAACGAACTTAAATCTAAATCTAACCCGATTTTCTGGTAGGGACAGATTTTCATCTCAAAGGCACGAAAATCCCCCTGAACATGCAGAACAACAACATCAAGTGTAAACACATATACAGAAAAACCATAATATTTCTGTAAATGCACTTGTCATGAGCGAACAAATATATAAAAAAGTTTGTTAGAAATACTTCAACGTACAAAATATCCAATTATAGTAACTTCAGTATATTGTACAAAATTGTGTGTCGGTCGGCCAAACTTTGGGTCTTAAGTGCACAATTTACATTAAATCGGACGAAAATATATATGAGAGCTAAATCTAAATCTGAACCGATTTTCACGAAACTTAGCACACATCATTCTAGCTTCATTTCAGTACCCTATGCTAAATTTCGTGCAAATCAAAAGATATGTAGGAACTTTGGTGCCCCATTTACCTTAAATCGGACGAAAATATATATGGGAGCTATATCTAAATCTGAACCGATTTTCTCGAATCTGGACGCACATCATTCTAGCCTCAATTCAGTATCCTATGCTAAATTTCGTAGAAAGGGAAAGATATATAAGTACATTGGTGCCCCATTTACCAAAGTTGGTGAAGGGTATAAAAAATAATTTTAAGGGTACAATTCGAATACGAAGCGATTTAAATAATTGGTACTGTGCACTAGGTGTATACTAAATATAAGCTGTGTATATTAGGTGTATATTAAATATAACCTGTAAATCATTTTGTTGCCAGTGGGCAACATTGGGACACAAAGTGTTAATTAAAAAAACAACAACAAAACAAAAACATTTTCTAAAAAACATGGAGTACCTCTTGTTTATGTTGCTTTTCTTGCTGATTTTATATTATAAAATAATAATATAGTATACACCATTTTTTAGTAGGATGCATACTTTATTTTTCTCAAATAAATACCTGATCGGGTTGAATTGTTTTTCATTTACTGCCCCATAATTTCATTTTTTATTGCTACACTTTTATAAGAACAAGATGTAGCCCGTCAATATTTTACAATTTAATTTTGATTTTTGGTTTTGTTGTGCATCCCCCAAATTCAGTCGTCATTTACCACAACCCCTATTTTGGTACTCCTAATTATTTGTACTTGTTTAAAAATTATTTACGATTACCCTGTCATTTTGTGAAAGTTATTTTATTCAACCATATCATACTCTAGTGAGGGTAATTGATATTTTTTCCGGAAAGATGTGATACAGTCATTAAATTTTTAAATTGTTGTATTTTTTTCGGTTGAAATTTGTTTATTTTGTAACACTTTTTGTGAAATGCGTTAAAATGTTTTAAATTTATTTAAAAAAAAAAATCAATTTGTTTCACATTTTTGATTGATCGAAATGTTACTCTTTTTTAAATTGTGAAAAGTAATGAAAACTGCTTTTCATCATGTCCCGTAAAACACGAATTTCATAAATTGTCTTCACTAATCGTTTCTGTACAATAAAAAAAAATGTAAAACTTTCAGTCGGATTTAAAAAGAAACCCCACAAAAAGACATAATCGTTGGAAATATGGTGGAATCAGACTGCTATTTTTTTATTTAGGAATACTTGGCCAAGCTTCTGTAAATAAAAACCAGTGAGCGGAGCAGTATAGTCGGACGGGGCCGACCATATGATACCCTACACAACTACCACGAAAATCTAACTATCTGCAGTTCTTTATTCTGAGCTTGGGCAATATTTCTGACCGACTAGAGGTCAACAAATATTACAAACATTCAGTAAGTAATTCTAATTACTTGTCCAGATTCCCTTCATCGTGGGTTGTATTGTGATGTTCGGCTTTCAACTGTGGCCTATAGATCGCCTCGAAAAAAAACACATAAAATTAAGTTTTCGGTCCACTTCATCCCAATATTATTATATGATCATCACCGAAAATTATAAGCGTCGTCCTTGTCCATACCCGTATCCTCATGGAAAATTTTTAAGCCATCAGGACTATATTTCCGCCCTCTAGTGTGGTAATGGGTTACTAAATAATATCTGAATACGTAAGCACCTGTAAATATTTAAGTGTAACTCCCACATCCGAGTACATACGACAAAAAAATTGGTATCAATTTAAAGGTCAACTACTCCTCTTGGATATACTATCAACATCTCGGCGTCATGTCCTTCAGAAAAAAATATATATGCCATAAAATACAAATTTTGTCATTATTCAGCCAAAAGAAAGGGTCAATTTGACCCGCTGTATATTGACCGATCTTTATCAAAACAGGCATGCTTATACTTTGGCACGATCTCCTTCTCCATATAAAAATTCTCAATGTTTGGGCCTTAATTGCAGCCCGATAGTATCCGTATGTCCAACGTCAGAGCCAACTAGTCCAAACAGGACTGGACTTCACTACCCTAATTTAACTGTGATAAAGTCAAT